GATGGGATCACTTGGTTTTTTTTTTTTTTTTGCTAATGCATTTGAGTTCTCTATGGATTCTGGTTATTAAACCTTTGTCAGAGACGTAGCCTGCAAATATTTTCTCCCATTCTGAGGGCTGTCTGCACGCTTTACTTACTGTGTTCTTGGCTGTGCAGAAGCTCTTTAGTTTGGGGACATTTATTTTCTTCATTCAGTACACATTTTTTGACACAGAAAGTGCTGCATCAGCTATGGAGTATTTCAAGATGAATGTGATACTGTTCGTAGCCTCCTGGAGTTCACCATAGGGAACTCGGACCAGATAGAAGTACTTGCTGCTCAATCTGTATCTGCAGTGCTATGTGCTCATTGCTGAAGTGGAATTCAGTTATGCCTTAGGGACTCAGAGGTCTCTGAGGGGAATGGCATTTGAGCTGGGCCTTGAAGGGTGAGCAGAAGGTGATCAGGGAACAACCAGGGGAAGAGCCTTATAGGCAGAGAGAAAGCAGAGAAGAGTGAGGCCTGGGGGGTGTTTGGAGACCTGTGAGTCTATAGACCTGAGCTGACTGCAGGGCCTGGGGGCAGGGAGCAAAGCCCACTGTGGTGGAAGAGAGCTGAGAATCAGGTTGAAAAGCCCCTTCCATCCAGGCCAAGAAGCAGAGTTTGTCCTGTACACAGATGCCACCCAAGTTTCCTTAGGTAGGAGTATTACTTTGTTTTAAAAAGATTAACTCAGTTTGCAAGACTGATGGGGAAAGAGGCAGGTGGCAGGCAAACTCGAGACGACAGTTAAGGGTTAAAGGTGGATGAGAAGGGCTTGAGAGGGGAAAGTAGTGATGTCAAAAGGCATTTCGGAGTAGAAACAGTGCTTGGAAATGTCAGGTTAGACATACGAGGAGTGTTGAAAGGAAAGCAGAGAAGGATTCCAGGATGGCTTATTTGTGCAGCTAGGCAGATGGCAATCCCACTAACTGCGGGTTCCAGAAACATGCCACTGAAGCAAGGATTCCAAGTTCATGGAATAAATCTGTGTTTTCCATGCTGTGAAGCACTGCCATAGTCTTAAAGGCATCAACTCAGGACATGCCGGTAGGGGGTGCTATCAGCATTCCTTTCCCTTCTCTGCCTGCTGTGGCTGTCTGAAAAATCTGCCTGGGACAGCAATCAGCTCCAAAGGCCAAAGGCAGTCCCCCATGGCTCACCATAGCCCCTTTGTTTAGAATTTTTTTCTTTCTTTTTTTTTTAATGGAGACAGAGTCTCACTCCGTCTGTGGCCCTTAGAGTGCCATGGCATCACAGTTCACAGCAACCTCAAACTCTTGGGCTTAGGTCACCCTCTTGCCTCAGCCTCCCTAGTAGCTGGGACTACTGGCTCCAGCCACAATGCCTAGATATTTTTAGAGATAGAGTCTCACTCTCGTTTAGGCTGGTCTTGAACTCCTGAGCTCAGGCAGTCCACCCACCTTGGCCTCCCAGAGTGCTATGATTACAGGCAAGAGCCACAGCACTTGGCATTGTTTAGAAATGTTTTTACATAAACAGACCACAATGCCTCCCCACCCCACCCCACTAGTCCCACATTTTCTAAGACATGGCACTTAATGGCCCCCAGGTCAGACTTTCCCTGAGTAACTGGGTGGGGAGCTTGGAGAAGTGGAGGAGCTTTGGTGAGCCATCCTGATCAAAAAGGGATCAGGGCAGGAGGTTCCACAAGGCCATTGGGTTCACATTTTTAATTCATGAAGCTACCCAAAGCTCATACAGTTGACCTCAATGTGACCTCTGGACCCCTCAGAACATAGCCACCCAGAAAACATTTTTGCAGGAAGCCCAAAATAAGATCTTACATAACCTCTCTGTGCCTCAGTTTCCTCTTCTGTAAAAATGATTGTAATAGAATCTAGCCATAGGGTTATTTTTGACATTTAAGTGCATTAAACACATATAAAAGATGCTTAGAAGAGCATTGTGGTTGTTGATGTTGGAAAGAGCATGGATAGATGAGAATGGTGCTTAGTCCACCTGAAGGCAAGTTAGCTGGTATCCAGAGGCTGAGCAATGAGCTGGGAAAAGGCTCATGCCCCATAAGAGAATCTGTAGTGTTAACCTAGGTCTATACCCTATCCTGCCCATTCCCCACACCTTCAATCCCAGAGATCATGCCCTGTGCCCACTGATCACTCATCTATGCATACTCCATCTCTCTTTTCTTTTCTTCAGGAAAATGTCTCTCTGATCAAGGAAATTAATGAGCTCCGCAGGGAGCTGAAGTTCACTCGCTCCCAAGTCTATGACCTTGAAGCAGCTTTGAAACTTTCCAAGAAAATCCGACCACAAGAAGTTCCAGACTCAGGTAATATCACCAGTGGCCAGAGGAGATGGGCCTTAGGATCTAGGGACCCATGACAGCCACAAGGAGGTCTCCCTTTGGCTTCCTCCTGTATGGGGTCACAGGCAACCCTGGCCTCCTAGGAGCCTTTCTATGCCACATGTCTGTTCTCTAAAGGATCTGTGACACATACAAGTCCCCTGTCTTAAATCCCTGGAGTTAGTTATGGTTTGAAATTTAGACTCTTTCAGATTTTAGAAAGAGCATACTATATATATAACATAACTTCCCCAGAGGGGTCTAGGGCAGTGCTCTGAAATCAAACACATTAGTATTTCAGAGTAGTGACATATGAATATTCACACTAAGCTTCCTGAATTTCAAAATCTTTCCATTTTTAGATCTTTTTGAATTTTAGAATTGTGGATAAGGGATTGTGAACCTGTACAATTTAAATGAAGACAAAAAGAAAGATGAGACACTATTTAAAGGGAGAGGGGAAAGAATTACATGAATATTAGATGAGGTAGTTACTGCAATCAACTATTCTAAAGTTTCTCTGAATTTCTGACAGCCAAGGCAAAAAAAGAAACAAAGAGAAATGATAGTTTACATAGTTTTTGTTGTATGGCAAAGGAAGTTTTTTCCTGGAGAGACAAACCTTTTCTTTTCTCTTATGAGAAACTTATCACTTGGGTCCTTAGGAAAGGAATGTTCAATAACAATGGACAGTCTTTAACTACAGCTTTTCAGTCAATAAAGAAACATTCTTCAAGTATCCACTTCTCATCCAAACAGTAGATAAAACCAAGAGTATGGAAAATTCCTATGGAAAATTATGCTAACATAGTTCTGATATTTTGTTTTCTGGTGGTTTGTAATGGTAATAAAGGTTAGAGACCTTGATGAATGGAAACATCCCATAGCTATGGATGGCATCCTTCAAATGTCAGTTGTCTCATGTACTGTGGTTACAAGATATTATCCTTGGGGGAAGTGGCTGAGGGGTTCACAGGAATTCTGTACTACTTTTGCAAGTTCTTATAAGTCTTAAACTACATAACTCTCTCTATATACATGTATGTTTATCATTTTGTTTTCTCATGTGCCCTCTTGCTTAGAGTTGAAGTGGAGAGAAGAGTAAATTCTCTGAATAGTACCCCAAGCTGCAATAATTAGGTCTACAGATCAGGCATGAGACCATAGCATGTGTTATAAAGACTGAGATAATTGACTCCTCAGAGATTAGAACCATCTTGGAAATAAAGCACAGATGTGCTTGTGAACAATTGTAGGACTTCTTTTTAAAAATGTTTCAGGCTTGGTATCCGTAGCACAGTGGTTAGGATGCCAGCCACATACATGGAGGCTGGTGAGTTTAAACCCAGCCCAAGCCAGCTAAAGCAACAATGACAACTGCAAAAAAAAAAAAAAAAAAAAAAAAAAAAACCAGCCGGGCGTTGCGGTGGGTGCCTGTAATCCCAGCTACTTGGGAGACTAATGAAAGAGAATTGCTTAAGCCCAAGAGTTGGCGGTTGCTGTGAGCTATGACGCCATAGCACTCTACTGAGGGTAACATAGTGAGATTCTGTCTCAAAAAAATAAATAAATAATAAAAATGTTTCAAATATACTCAAGCATCCTAACAAATACTCAGTTGAGACTTCTTCAGGATGCTATATGGTATAACCAGGTTATTCATATCACTATTATGGAAATTTCATCCACACAAAAATTGAGAGAAAAGTCTAATGAATTTCCATGAATCCATTCCCCAACTTTAATATGTATCAACTCCTGTCACTCTTGTTTCATCAGTATCCTCTCCACCTACTTATTTCCTCCCACACCTGTCATGGATATTTTTGAAGCAAACTAAACATCAGGCCATGATTTTTACTCAAGGAAAATTTCATTTGAAACAATTGAAGACAGGTATTACCAACTGTCTGCCTCAATCATAAGTAACTGAAGTCTGACCTCTAATTTTGAACATGAGGTGGGCAAGACAAGAAAGCTCAAAATACACAGGGTTTTTTTAAAGAAATTGATTGATTCAGTGGGTTTTAAAGAATTCTTTATCTGAACAAGGGAAATTGTCATCTTAAAGCCCCTATTTTAATTTTTGCAGCATTTATATTAAGTTTCCATATACATGACAATTAATTAACAGGTCTAATAGACACACCCAATTATTTTTTAGTTATTAAAATTATACCATCAGAACTTCTGGTTAAAGATGGATAGCTGAAAACCCACTAAAATGGCATAAATAAACCATAAAAAACAAAGAGAATAAGAAGGAAAATGAGACACAAAATTTTAAAAGCTGGACAGTGGATGGATTAATGATAACTGATGTCATAGATCTGAGGCCCTAGATTCTTTTTTTTTTTTTTTAAGACAGAGCCTCAAGCTGTCACCCTGGGTAAAGTGCCATGGCATCACAGCTCATAGCAACCTCCAACTCCTGGGCTCAAGCGAGTCTCCTGCCTCCACCTCCCAAGTAGCTGGGACCACAGGCGCCCGCCACAGTGCCTGGCTATTTTTTGGTTGCAGCTGTCATTGTTGCTTGGCGGGCCCGGACTGGATTCAAACCCACCACCTTAGGTGTATGTGGCTGGCGCCTTAGCCACTTGAGCCAAAGATCTAAATATAAGAGGTAATCTGAGTCCCTAGATTCTAAGTAAGAACCCAGCATTGGGAACCTAGAAGAAACCTCATGTATACCACAAAATGCCCAGAAGGCTCAGGGATTATAAGGAGCAGATATATCTAGAAGCAAAGGTATAGGTGGGGCTGAAATCAGGAGAGAAAATCTGTTTAAGAAGCTGTTAAACTGGGCATGGTGGCACATACCTGTAATCCTGAGAGGCTGAGGCAGGATGACTGCTTGAGCCCTGGAGTTTGAGGTGGCAGTGAGCTATGATGATACCCCTGCACTCTGCCCAGGCGACAGACCAAGACTCTGTCTCAAAAAAAAAAAAAGAAGAAGCAGCAGCAGCTATTAGATCCACTTAACCTCCAATACAATGGCTAAAAATAGACCCAAATCAGGAAATTTCAGATTATGAGAGTACAAAGATAAAAATCCCTAAAAAAAAAAAAAATCCTCCCAACTTCCAAAAGGAATAGGGGAAGTTTTCATACAGAGGATCAATAATCCTATTTACAAGATACAAAATCAACACATAAAAACAAGTTGCATTTTTTATACACTAATAATGTATAATCAAAAAAGGAAATTAAAAAACCAGTTGCATTTACAATTGTATCCAAAAGGATAAAATACTTAGGAATAAACTTAACCAAGGAGGCAAAAGACTGAAAACTACAAAACATTCCTGAAAGAAATGAGGCATTGATGAATGGAAAGATATCCTGTGTCCATGGATTGGAAGACTTACTATTCTTGTCAGTACTACCTGAAGCAATCTACAGATTCAGTGCAATCCCTATCAAAATCTCAATGACATTTTTGCAGAAACAGAAAAACTCATTGTAAAATTCATGTGAAATCTTAAGGCAGTCTGAATAGCCACAATAATTTTGATAAAGAACAAAGTTGGAAGTCTCTCACTTCCTACTTTCAAAGCTTCCTACAACACTATTGTGATCAAAATAGTGTGATACTGGCATAAAGACTGACATACAGACCAATGTAATAGAATACAGAGCCCAGAAATAAACCCTTGCACGTATAGTCAGATGATTGTCAGCAAGGGTGCCAAACCATTTAATGAAGAATGGACAGTCTTCCCAACAAATCATGTTGGGAAAACTGGATATTCACATGGAAAAGAATTAAGGTGGACCCTTGACTTACACTATGTATAAAAATTAACTCAAAATGGATCAAAGATCTAAATATAAAAGGTAAAACTATAAAACTCTTAGAATAAAGAAAAAGAGAAAATCTTCAGAATATTGGATTTTACAATTATTTCTTTGGTGGATGACACCAAAAGCACAGGCAACAAAGAAAAAATACATTGGACCACATCAAAATTCAAAACTTTCATACAGGGGAGGCAGAGGCAATATGGCTGACCGGAGCCAGCTTTCCACAGAGGCTTCTGTCCAGAAGGAGAGTTAAAGGACAGAAGTTTAGCAAGTAAGCTGATAGTTTGGAGCTGAGCCAAGAAAGAAGGTTGAAGAACACATATCAACCCTGCTGAGGCAAGCTACAACCCCAAGGATACAAACAATAGGTGCAAAATCCACCGCCAAGCAGAGGGGAGTCCCCTCCCCCTGAGAATGGCTCACAGTATACTTTCTACAAACAAGCCAGCAGAGTTCAAACAGCCTCTCATTTTATCCCATGGGAGAGACCCTCTAAAAACCGGACCTGCTTCCCCTACTAGGGTGCCATGGGACTCTCCTGCCAGGCATAAAACTATATAAAACTATACATATTCTCTACCTGCAATTCTGAACTCCCAGCACTCCTATCCACTCTCACCCCAAGGTCTGGAAGCCTGTCCCCCATGGAGTCCAGATTCTTGGGCATTTTCTCAAGAGGTCTGGACAGGGCATAGGCTGTTGCAGGTCTGTGCTCATTCTGCAGCATAGGGGTAAGGAGAAAACAGTGGACTGAAGGAACCGTACAGGAAAGGGGGAGGCTTTCCCCCTGGCACAGAGCAGCAGTGGCAGCAGCGGGAATAATAAGGCTCACACCCCTGGGGATATTTTGGAAGGACACTTCCTGTCTCTCTGGGCAACCAGAGGAATGCCAGGCATCTTCTCCAGTGGTAGACACTGGTGGAATAGATCTGGGATGGTAACACAGGCCCCTTGAACAAAGGGTATGCCTGAGGCGGTACCAGCCTGGGTGGAGCTTGGTGGGACAGAAAATTGAAGATGCATGAGCAGAGACTGCATACTCCCAGGGCAGGGCTGAGTCAGGACTGCTTTAGTGAGCTAAGAAATACCCAACTCTCAGGGGATCATAGTTGAGACAAAGGCAGGTGGGCTGAGGCTGGAACTCCCAAGCTGAGTGTGAACTCTAACGGCACCTTCCCCAA